ATAAAAGCAATACAGAAATATAAGAAAATACGTAAAAAAAAAAACAAATAAAAGAAAAGAAAAAAGGTAAGAGTAAAATAAAAAAAAACTAAACTAAATATAAAATTTTTTACCTATACCAGATAGTCACAATTATAAATCTGTATCAGGCTTTTAAAAATTACATACTACTATCTAAACTATTCTTTATACTAATTTATATATATAGTATATCTAAACTTAAAACCTAAAAAAACAAAAAAAAGAAAAGCTTCTTTAATATCAATACTATAGAGAGGTTAGAAAATCATATTGGTAAGCTTATAGTATTGCTTGTTCAGGTGCTATATTTGAAACACATAATCATAGATCTACTACTTCACATATATTCACATATTTGTTGTAACAGATAAAAAAGTAAACAATATTGCACAATTTGATAAGTAAACATATGTTGATCTTTTGAAGAGATATGCTAAATTGCTCACTTTTTAACAAAAATTCTTTGAAGTAAAGTAGAGGACTAACAAGAGTATGTAAGATTCTTCTTGTAAATTTTATAGTTGTATAGTTCACTTCTTCACTTCTACTAGATATTCTTAATCAGAAACTAAGTTTGCTTATACAAAACCAAAAATATTGTCAGATTTATTTTGTTGTTTCTATAATGCTGACTGTAGTTCAATAAAATTGTTATTAACTAGAGAATTGTTGAAAAGAGTTGTTTTATTTATTTTTGCTAATTATATAATTAATTAGAGTGAATCAGATATTTGACTTAAAGAATATAGTAAAGAATTAAACAACTTTAGATTAAGATTTTTCCAAGACAATTTGGTATTTATAATTGCTTTCTTAAATAAATTAAAGAAATATAATTTTTTTTACAAATTTTATATATAAAATTATAGTAAGTTATCTCATTTGATTTATAAGTATAATATTTTATAATCAGACTTCCATAAGTGTATTTCTATAAGTGTACACCCTCTATAAATATACTATAATACCTGGTCTCAGGCTAGGACCATAATATTAAGTATACACCCTTTATATTTTGCACATGTATTTGGATTTGTTATTAGGATACTTTCTGTAAATATACTATTACATAGTCTTAGATCGGTTTGATCAATAAAATTTTGAACTACCATTATTTGTATAACTTCTATGACAATTAGGATATATGTATACTATATATTGCTGAAAATAAGCTACCTCTGAAAGAAGCTACCTATTTTTTTCTTAGAGAGAAAACATAAGAAACAACTTAGTTCTGAAAATAAGCTACCCCCATAATTGATTATTATTGCCACATAGTAAAGTCAAAATTTTATTAAGTAAATCGACCTATCTTATTAAGTGAAAGTTATTCAGGAGATCAAAATGCATATATTCTGAAAATTTCATATAAATCGGAGAACATTTTATTAATTGACTTTTGCATATTACGTTTCAATAAAAATTTAAAAATTTCTTTAAAGTTTATATTCATTGAATGTAAAAATCAAAAGTCAATTAATAAAATGTTCTCTGATTTACATGAAATTTTTAAGATAAATGCATTTTGATCTCTTGAACAACTTTTATTTAATAAGGTAAGTCAATTTACTTGGTAAAATTTTTTGTAAATAATAAAAAATTATTATTACCCGATAATAAGCTACTTGTACTATTTTAGTATAATTTTTCTTGACAAAAAGTAGCTTATTTTCAGCAATATATGGTATACGTATGGTGCAGAAAATCTAAAAATTTCAATTACTTTATATAGAACAAAAAACGACCAACATATTAAAGATAAACTAAGTTTAGTAGCAACTTATTTAAGTTTTTTTTTTTTTTTAAATATTAAGGTGATCACTTTGGAATAGGCACTCTTGACTTTGTTACATTAATGAGAGTATAATTGGTCACATATACAACTTTAGTCATTGTCTAATTAAGGGCTCTGCTATATCTATTTTTATCTATAGTTACTCATCAATTGCTATATCTAGGATCCGCTTGTGGATCCCTATTTAAACCCTCTGATCAACTTAATGCTATCAGATGCTTTTTTCAAAAGAATTTCTACTGCTAAGACCCTTAGGACTACTTTATTCTTATAGTAAATCTACCAGAGTGGTCTATGTTCCACACATGTATTATCTGGGTTTTTCAAAAACATATACTCCAATCCAAGAACTAGAACTTGCGATCTTTTATATCGCTACCGTAACCTACTCTTTGTCCTTTACAAGGTTCGTTCTGATCCCGATATCTACTTCTAACCAGTTCTTATACTAATCCCTCCCCAACTACCAAACTAGTTAGCTCAGAAGAGTTGTTGTACCTAGGCTCTAAGTGCTTTCTGGTTTTACTTTCCTTGGTTCTGAATTTTATAGCATCAGACCTTTTTCTCTAGTGTGACTCTGGTGGCCAGGTTGGTAGACTCTTCTTGCCTCAGGGTTGTTCATCTGGTTCTTTGGTCTTCAGTTTCAGTTTTCTATAATATAGTTAACTTCCACAATAGTCACATTGTATAATCAGGAATTTTATATGACTATTGCGAGTTTGTGACTAATATGAAAAATTATATAAATTTTAGATTTAAATGCTACAAAATAAAAATCTATATAAAAATAAAATTTTACTTGGAAGTATGCATTAAAATACATATATAATCAGCATTCTAGTTCTATTATATAAATATTTTGTAGTACATACTTATATTACTTCTCTACTAGATATTAACCATCCCGAAATAATGTCTGGGACAAAGTTAATTTGGCCAAAGATGTTTTTAAACTTACTATCTATTTAATATTAAAGTTTAAGAAAAGTCTTCGGACAAATTAATTATTAAATTAAGCCTCTCAAAATAACTCCCTGAGGCATTATTTCGGGATGGTACGGTACTATATTTATTTATTCAGCTTTCATTTTGCAATGCCCATTTATTGAATTGTTAAATCAATATTTTTTTAAATTTTAAAATTACTAGCCCTACCTATATGATCTAACAAAAGTGTGTTATTTATTATGAATAGTTTTAGATGTAGATTTTACAATACGACTTGACTGGCAGATCAGTAAAATTTATTGTAACAACAATTTTAAAATTATAGCACAAGACATAGATACTTATACAATAATAAATAAGCTTTTTGACATCCCAAAATTAAAGACAAATTGCTTAGCCCTCCATATACTTTATTTATAATAACAAATAAATGCTTTACATTTTTAATTTTCAACTATAATTTTATATTAATAAAATTATACTAGACTTTGGCAATAAATAACTGCCTTATGATTATACTTTAATTCTACTTTGATAACAGAATTAAGGGTGATCAGTATATTTACAGATTATTAAATGTTTGAGAGAGCTTTGTTTCATGAATTTGATAGAAGCTCAATGTGTTCGGGTAAAAAAATCATAAAAAAAACCTCATCGTTTTCTTTAATAAAACTATCAATCTGGAAAAATTGCTGGCAGATAAAGGTGAGAAGGCTGTTTTTGGTTTCTGCAAAGATAATTTTAGGTTCTTCATCTACTTGGTCATCAGACCTATTATCATTAACAATTAGATTTTTAACCAATTCTATAATTAGTTCATCATCCAAAGCTTCTTCAGTCTTAATAGACTCATCATCATCAAGATAGTCTTGAGTGAGTTGTCGAAGGTGGAGATCTTCAGTTAAGTCAATAACTTCTTGGGCCTCATGTTGAGTTGTAATAATTTTAGGAATTTGAATGATTTGAGCTTCAAGATCATCATTAGGTGCTGGTTCCAATTCTTGGAAAATTTTAACAAGATGTTGGCTAGATAAGATTCTAGTGTGGCGCTAACAATTTTTTAAAGTTTCTGTACTTATGGCATCCTATGTAGCTTTCACTAACCGTATTGCCTAAAGATAGGCAAAACAAAATTAATAATGATTAATTTATTCTCTTATCCATTCTTACAAACTGTGTGTTTTGAAAGTTTCTAGATAAGATCTTTTTGTTAATTATTTTGATTACAGAAATTGTATATTTTTATTAGTAAAAAAGATCTATCTAAAAACTTTTATTTTATTAAAAATATATAATTTAGTAATTAACAAAAAGGTTTTATCTAGAAAATTTCAAACATCCAATATTATTAATAATTATAGTACTATTTATCATAACTAATGATTATTTATTAAAATTACAAATGTGATCTAAGTAATATAAAATTAATAATATTAATTAATAATTACTAACTCAATCTGAAATATATCTATTTTGCTTGATTCCTCAATACTTCTATCAAAATCACAAATTACTTGATTAATATAAAGATACTTATAATGTAATTTAAAGGCATTAATAATTTCAGTATTTATCAGCTATAGATAAGCAGTCATATTAGAGTAACGAAAATATATACAGATATTTGGGTAATCTTCAAGATTATCAACATTATAGGAAGTAACATTATCCACAAGTAATAAAATTTTCATTTTTGAATTTGGAATATAGTCTGAAGATTGTTAAGAAATTTCTAAAAAAAAAAATAATAATGACTAGTAATTCTAAAATAAAGCAAATATTAAACAACAATATAAAACCTTAAAAATATCTTGATACATCTACACCTTATCATTATGATAATAATTAACAGGAAGTTGGTTATATGATATAATTCCTTCATGATGAAATACAAATAGTATACAGGACTTATTAATAACCAGAGACTTGATTTTTTCAGTATCATCTGTATTGAATATGCAAACAATAGTAATTCTTGATTTATTTTTTTTTACCCTTTTACACAGATGTTAGAAGTAAAGTATTAGATTCTATATGATAAAACAAACCATATTTATCTGCATTAAAAATGTTTCAGAGTTCATATAACTTTAAGAGATCTTTTAGCTCTTCATGAAATTAGAGCAAAAATTTTATTGAAGCACTTTCTGCTTCTCATGAATTCAATAGTTTTGGATTTCCATTCTAGCCTTGAATTGTGAAAACCAACTATCAGATGCTTTAAAATTACTTTCTGAAACTTCTAACAATGCTGCAAACTCAAAAGCTTTCTGGTGAATTACTTCTCCTATAAAAGTAAATTATCTTTGTTCAGCAGTACCAATCCATATTTCAAAGGCTTGTTCAATCTGAAGAAATTTGGAACCCATTGTTTTAAATGTATTTGTATTTTTTGAAACTTCACGTATATTAGACCATTGTTTTGCTTTAGGATCTTTGATACTATACTTTGACCATACTGGAATTCTGTAGCAATTTTCTTATCTTGTAGATTAGGAGTTTCTTTTTTTTTTCTTGAATTTGTTTTTTTTGTATAATCATAAGTATAATATAGCTTTTACTGATTAATTTTTTTTTTATTGTTAGGTATTATAAATTTTTAATGAATAAGTTGCATTTAATTATACTGTAAATATTAAAAAAAAAAAAAAAAAAAAATACAGCCTAAGGGTATAAAAAAAAAAAAGCAATTTTTT